AAAGTGGTCGGTGCCAATCAGAGCCGTGGTTTTTGGGGGTCTCGCTGCTTTGGTTATGGGCTTGTTGTGTCTCATTGGCCCTACTGCGTCCAACGCTTTGTTTTCTTTGGCTGTTTCGGGTAATTATTTAGCTTGGGGCACGCCAATTTTCTTGCGGTTGACGTTTGGAAGGGATAAGTTCGTTCCGGGAAAGTTTTATATGGGAAAGACCTGGAGCCCGGTTATCAGCTGGACAGCGTGTGCGTTCCTTTTATTCATTATCATCATGGTCCAATTCCCATCCCTGCCCCAAGTCGGGAAGGAAACGATGAATTACACGTGTGTGATTACCCCAGGTGTATTGATCTTGTCCGCCATTTACTATATGGTATATGCGAAACGCCACTACCGTGGTCCGTGTAATACTATTGATGATGACGTTATTTACGGTTCTGAGGTGGACCTAAACTCCGGTTCCCTTGAGATGGGGGAGAAAAAGCACTAGCTGGAAGATACTTTATAGTTTGACTTGAATATACGAAAGAAATGTACAGATCTGTAATCTTTAGAAATTGCCACTGCTTCACTTGCCGTCTTCAGACAAAACTTTCGATATATATGTGTAAAAGTAAGGTATGGGTCGTAGGTTAGATATGGGCTGCTCTTGACAATAAATAATCTGTCTATCATGTTTCCTGGTTACTTTCATCTATAAATGTATGTTGTATATTAATGTAAAAGCCTTTGGCTGCTGTATAGTTGCCTGGCTAGCTCAATCGGTAGAGCGTGTGACTCTTAGCAGCACGCGATCACAAGGTTGCGGGTTCGACCCCCGCGTCGGGTTCTATTTTTTTCTTGACCGCAGATGAATTCTACAATTCTTTCTTATACGATTGACTAACCTCGCTTGATGTAGCTCCCCTTTCTGCTGTATATACTATGCATAACCAACAACCTAGGTCTATGAGATCCGTTTTCGAATCCAATGATAAGACATGGCCATGCCAGGCTACCCTTTATGGACCGCTACGATACACACCAGGGTTGACTAAGATGTCCTTAATAATAATCTATATTATTGTATATTTAACCTCATTTCTACTTTTGAATAGCACCTTGTTGGTTCTCTTCGTCACCAACTATCTTCACCTGTTCTTCCAATGGTTTATCCTGGTAGCTGATAATGGACTCGCTATCTTGGGCTCTCATATGCGCAATGACGGCACTTTCCTTGACCTCCGGCCCGATAAAGGTAACAAGTAAGAGGAATGCGAAAACGCATCCCATGAAAATGGCCATTACCTTGGAGTAGTTGAAGGCACCAACAATTTGCTGCCCATTGGAGTCGAACAACGGAAACTTTTCACCGATCGTTGCTTCGATGGTGGAAGAAGCGGAAGAGGCCAAGTTACCCAACTGATAGGAAGTGCCCACAATAAAAGATCTCCATTTAGGGTCGGCCAAGGAGGAAATATGAGCTGGAACCACACCCCAGGCCCCCTGCACAAAAAACTGCAAGAAGAACGCCCCAGCGTTGATGCCGGAATTGCGGACAAAGGCCCATGGGTAGATCATGGCACCGCCCAAAACGCAGGAAAGCATGATGGCGAAACGGCGGCCTACGAAAGTGGAAGCATGGCCGACAACCACACCACCGGCGATGGCACCAAAATTGGCCACCGAGTTTGTGACGGTGGAACGATCTTCACCGTAGTTAAGCTGCTTGCTTAATAACGTAGGATACAAGTCCTGGGAGCCGTGGGAGCTAAAGTTGAACCCCGCCATCAACAACACCAAATAAACAAACATCAACCACTGGGTTCTAAGCGACTCCTTTGCATTCTTCCAAAACTTGGACCCTTCCACGCCTTCGCCATCCTCAACCTCCATCTTTCTGATAAATGCGTCAGTCTGGGGGAGAGATAACCTCCAGGCAATAAATAGCACCGGCGGACCCGCACTAAACCAAAAAATGGCTCTCCACCCCTTTGGCGAGTTGTCCACAATGGCTCTTTGGAAAACCACAGCCAAGAGATACCCCAACGCGTACGCTTCCTGAAACATACCCGAAATGATACCTCTGGCATCTACAGGACAGTCATCAAGGGCACAACTGGCAGCATTGCCGTAAATACCCCCCATCGCAATCCCAAATATCGCTCTAACTCCCAAAAACTGTGCATAGCTGTTGATGAAACCAGTACCGATTTGGATAATAATCAACAAAACCAAGCAGGTAATCAAGGGGTACTTGTTACCACATCTATCACCCCAGATACCAAACCCAATAGAGCCCACAGATCTGAGCATAAGAACGAGCGTGATACCCCAGGTAATATCCTTTACAGTGACATCTAACGATGCGGCAATCTTGCTCGCATTCAAAGACACGGCAAAGAAATCAAACGCATCCCACGTCCACGCACAGATAGCCACTCCAAAGAAGGCCCAGTTCTTTCTGGTAAGCTGGGATAAGGGACTGAAAGGGTTGATATTGTGTTTGTTGGCGTCCCATTCAGCACGGGTGGGTAATAGCTCCGTGAATCTGGTCTTGATGTACCTTTTAATGGTGACAGAATCGAGTTTGGGGCCCTGCGAAGGCACGGCATCGGAGGTAGGAGTGCTCAATTCGTGTGTAGAAGGCATGGAGTTTATGTTTTACACGCTTAGAGTCTTAGCAAATCGCCGATTCCTAGCAAGTAGATAAACCGTCTCATATTTATACCCCATCTTTAGACCTCCATTATAAACGAGGTATTTTCAGAGACGTAACGGAGATGAAAAAGAAATTATATGGTCATTCGATGATTATGACTGTTTGAAAGGGTAACGGGGTGATTGGTGAAAGTGGAGAAGGGTGGCCGGCTAAAGATTCGCCCATGGCAATGCACGAGACATGCACACGCTGGGCCTACTCTGATGGTGGAGTGCGTCGAACTCCGAGACAAACCCCAAATTCCGAATCCTGGATTAAAGATTCCGACGCCTATTTTTCGACCGCCAAGCTGGAACTATCCATATACTTTGATATTTGTCTGGGTGACGCTGTGCCAAGGTAGCTTTTCAAACATGCTTAATATAGTAGGTTTATCTTTCAAAAAAGCCATCTAATCAGAGTGGCTCCCTTCTTGCTTCAAGACTCTATGCACATAAAGCTTTTACGAAACACAATATCCCGTGGCCCGTGGTTCAAGCTATCTTTTATGCGAGTTATGCTTCTCAGGCCGTTTTTCCGCCAATGAGAGACGAGGAGCATACATGCGGGATGCAATGGCGCCGCATGGCTCTATTTTTCCATGGCTGCGTCCTGTAGAGGTGCGTCAAGCACGCTTGGTCGGAGAAACTAAGCTTTAGTATGCATACTTAAACAACGGGTCAGTACCTGCCGCCCCGTCCGTTGCAAGCCTATTTTCGCCACTCCAAGTTAGCTCATGGGTATCATGGTAGCTCGTTATCGGTACGAAAATGTAACTAACATGCGATGCTGGTGGTTTGGTGGCGGTGAGTGAAAAAAAGGAACCAGCGGCAAGGGTTAACTGATCGGTAGAAAGTTCTCGTGAGTGCAGTTCGGCATTTCACGCCTGTGAGCGTCGTCCGATGGCTTGCTATTCTATTTTTGGCGCGTATCCGGCTGTGAACTTCCCGAGAAGGGTATGGCACAGGTTAGTGTCTACTTCCTAAAGCCCCGCCGCTTACCTATGATGCACTCTGGTGGTGAACCGTTTCGTATACTTATTCACTAGTAGTCAATAGTTCCCCGCTTTCCCTTAAGCCTTGTCCTCGGTTAACGATAAAAAATTTTCACAAACTGGATGTCCTTGATATTTTAGAACCCCTCCGGAGGCGAGGGGTTTGAAAGCGGAATATTCTCCGCGCTCTTAAACAATTCGCTCTACTCATGCTAGACCCACCGCCAGTTCTATCGCTGCTTTTAGGCAATGGATAATACGCCTTTTTAGTATAGTGTTAGTACTGCAAGCTTTAGAAATATAATCCCTGATCGGGCGGAGAAGAAGCTCCTTGTGGGTACAATCATACCCGGTCTCGACCGCAAAGATGTGTAAGCCTCGTTATAGCGTCCTCTATTTTCTATTCCTCGTCTGTCCTTCTATTCCCCGCTTTCCCATACGCCTAATTCGAGAGTAGGCTAGGATTCAAACCTCTTGTAAGTAACCCCTGTGTCCAATACCAGGAGTAGAAACCCTCCAACCTTTATGATACGTCACGGTATGTATCAAAAGACCCGACTATCACCGTGATCGTCTACGATGCAGATGAACCTAATCTCTGTTATAACCCCATACTATAAACTTTAAACGGTCTACGGTTTGCACGGTGCTTCTACTATTGAAAGCACTATACGTCATTTGGGAATAGTTGGAGCAGAGCACGAGTAAAAATTGGAACTCGCATTCTTGGAGTCCAAGCTTAACCCATAATGGCTATCTTCTCAGAACGGTTGTATGTATTTCCACTTTGGCCTTGGTGGTGAGCTCACATGATTTGCATATTCCCCGCCCGAAGAATCCTGAGATTGTTCTTGGCATGAGGTTATCTAGTTTAGCAAGCAGGTGCAGGGACGGACTCCCACGGGTGCAGCTCCACCCGACGTTCCCCGAAAACGCCAAGGATATGAGAAATATAGGTGTAATCGGAGAAATTCAAGCAGGGGTCATTACCTGAGAGGGGCTGCTCCCCCGCCGTTGCTAGGTATACGTCTACTTAGCCAGCACTTCCCGGTGGGGAAACTTCTCACCAAGAGGTAATGGCATCATTCGACCTGGTGTTTCAAGGCGTTCTACCACACTCATGCTTACCTTGTTATCTTTGTCAACCTACATGCACGTACTAGGCTCAGAATGTCATAAGATGGTTTCTGTTTTCCTTTTGATGTTTCTACGATACCAGTGCTGTCAATATGTGTTTTACTAATACCCGGAAAGAGAAGAATGCAAAAAATAGAAAAAATATCAGAACCCGACGCGGGGGTCGAACCCGCAACCTTGTGATCGCGTACTGCTAAGAGTCACACGCTCTACCGATTGAGCTAGCCAGGCTTTCTGATGAACTGTTGGTTAACTCTGATTACTATAAGACCCCTTTATATATACTAGCTTTTTCTTTTCATCTTATTACTGTGCCACGCCTTGTTTTCATGCGCTATAGCGGGTTAAATCCTCCATTAATTGATGCTAAGTAGAAATAAATACGTCAAGCTTAGCGGTATCTCCTTCACCATTAGCGGAAATGGCACGGCAACGAAAGTGTTACACCACGGCATGTCGATTGGCAAGTTCATCCAGCGTCTACTGCTCACTAGGTATAAATATATTACAGACCCTAAAAGATGAAAGGTCCGTAGAGAACAAAAAAATGCAAAATTAACCGGTATAAAATGTAGAAACAAGCCAAAAACACCCAAACCCAAACCAATAAAAAAAAAGATGACAGGGAGAAAACGTGGACGAGAAAGCGATACAGGACGAAAGGTATTTACCGTTGAGAACCTACCGTGGTTTAGTACCAATACTCTTCATCGGAATCAGATCCCGACTCATCATCCTCTTCCATCTCCTCCTCCACTTCCGCCGCCTCCTCTCCGGTCTCTTCCTTACCCTCGAATCCGTTCTGCGCCACTTCCGCTTCCTCGTACTCGTACTCATCGATGTCACTCAACGTGTAAATCAACTCACTCTGGCTCTGACTTTCCCCAACGAGTTCAATCAACCGCCGGTAGTAGATATCCAACACGTCACCTGCGGTCGATACATCGACAAACCGTGTGGACGGTTCCTGAAGGGACTGCTTGGGAACGACGTCCCACTCTACGCGCAACAAAAACTCCATCTCAAGCAAGTTCAACTCGTCCACCTGGACACCACCCACCTTGGCGTAGTGCGTGTTGGTGGCAAACGAGTCCAAGAGGCCTTTGCAGCCGACGGTGGTGGCTGTGAGGAGAAAACGGTGGACAGTGAGGGAGTTAAGGGAAAAAGCCGGGAACTTGGACGATAGAAGATCAATATAGTAGATTGTGGCGAGGAGGATGGAATTGGGGATGGAAGAGTACTTGGAAAGACGAAGGAGGTACGAATGGATGGAGATGTTTGGGGGCGATCTCGAGTGGAAACGCGTAAATCCAGCGGGAGCACCGGGCGAACCGGGGCTGGTCGGCACCGGAGCGTTCGGGGAGATTTTTTCGATCAGTTCATCGTTGATACCGATAAGCAGCGTGAGCAAGCGCGACACAAGCAAGATGAGATCAGAAGTAGGGCAATAGATGAGCTGGCGCGGTAAGGTCTTGCTGTTGGGGTTGGGAAGCAGATCTTGTGGCACAGGCGGTGGAAGCTCAACAACCGTAGCTGCTTCTTTAACCGGGCTGGGAGCAGAACAGGTGGGGTAAGCTTCCTGCACATATTTCACGTACGGTTCGGCCTCGGCGCTGGTCTCCCGTCTGAACGTTTTCATGTACGATTTGGTGATATCGTCCTGCCTGGAAGACACCGGCGGAGGCGCATCACGCTTGAGATAGCCCTGGATGATGTCTTCCTGGGACAGCTCCTCCTTAGCGGAGAGCTTGATTCGCTTCACCAGGGTGAGGCTGTTACTGCGGCTGCGGGCCTTGGAGTACGGAGAGCTGTTGTCGCTATTGCTGTGAACTGAGGTGTGGAGAGGCGATCTCGGGTGGGTAGGGTGTCGCGGATATACCTTCGGGCTGAGGGTGTTCATCGTGCGGTGGAGGTGGGCGCTAAGAAACGGCAGGTGCAGAGGCAGCGGCATCACCGGGGATGTATTTTCCGTCAAACTCATAAAGGCGGGGAATTAAGGTAGACCGTATGGAAAATGGTAAACAACGAAAGGAATCTGGATGTCGCGTTGAGATTCCAAAGCGGTATTGAAGCAAACGGGAATAGGTTGCTATAGGGCTTGCTGCCTAGCGGGTTTACCAAAAAAAATTGAGGTCAAAAATAACAGTTTGTCTCTGGTTAGGACTGGCTGAGTCACGTTACGTATAGTAGAGACTATCTAAAGACTGTGTGGATGGAGAGAAAGGTGAGGGAGCTGGTGTCAGGTTATGAACAACAACTCATGCCTTGTAGTACGGCGGTAGGTGTAGGGCGCAGGTGTGTATGAGCAAACGTGGATCTGATCGTTCTTATCTCATATCTTGCGGGTCATGCAAAATTTTCTGTGCTGCAAGAGACAACGTTTTTGCTCGGATTGTATGACGAGGCTGGCAGTATAAACAAGCTGTCTAGGCAGTAAAATACAAAGGGAGTGAGATGTGAGGAGAAATGAACCGGAAGGGAGGGCAGAGGCACCGGGAATATGCTTGGCTAGTTTAGAAGAGTGACCCTTGGTGCTTATAACCGGCCCGAAGCGCTGCAACAATCAAAAAGTGTGTTGGAGTTGAAAAACTGTTAGCCGCCGGTGACCAGTACGACTTTGGCGTCCCATACGAGGCACGTGGGGGACCCCACGTGTGGGTCTCACGTGATCTGCATATTAGGCTTACGCTCCATGTAACAGAACGGGCTCAGGCATAAACTAAATGCTGGCTGGCATATTGACATACTGGTTGACATCGTGACTGATATCATGGGTTTGCCTTCAGGATGAAGTAACGATAGTGTACACTCTGAGCAATTTCTTTTCCATTAACTGTCACTTCGTTTAGGAGAATGTCAGGTGGGATTAGAGTTTGGCTTAATTACGGTGATATCGAGACCTGTACGACCGGTGACGTGAGTTGCTCATGGTCCACCGAAACTAATTCATTATGGCTCCTAGTCTACGTGGAAACCATCTCGACAAATCGTTGTCATCCTTAATCGGCAGTCTATATATAAGACATGCATGTATCTACCCATTATGTTTTCTTATAAACGTGAAAACCACCTTGGCGAAAAACAAGCACTGTCCAGAGCGAACACCAGGATATTCTGAATACGAACATGTGCTGAAAAAATGAAATGATTGCGGTCTAGGTCGGTGTTGCTACGTGACAAACAAGCCGTAACTGCATACATAAATTAGCCTGTAACCCACGTGGCGAGCAGAACTGCAAGTGGTGATTATATCTACGGGAGGTATTAATGACCAAACCAGCCACTAAGAACTGCTAGAAACACTCAAAAGTTTAGCTATTCAAGTTGTATACTTCATTAGCCCTTGAAGGTAGGGGCATGGGCGTGCTGACGTGGTCGACTTTGCAGACAATCTTCCCGGGAAGCCTCCGTCTGTCAAGAACTGTGCAGGTGAAGCTGCGACATGTGGCAGATAAAGCTTGTTTGTCTGACGGGTATACATTTCGAATTAACCCCGAGATATTTGGATGCAAAATCTGAGAACCGGTTCTGAGCTGGTTCTGGGCTGGCTCCAGACTGACTTTTTGCTGACTGTACGACACTTAAGCTTACTGCAGTATGCTTCTATCGCATTAAACTGCATAAGCTCGGAAAACCTGGCCCTCGGGAAGCTCTGGTTTCCGTTTTTTTTTCCGGGTTGGTAGAGACTGGGATTCTCTCCTGTTTAAAACTCTACAACGATGTTGGTATGACAGACGAATCAACCCCATTGGATTAAGGAGTGCTGTCTCTTATAATACTAACCCCAGAAAGGGGTCTATATCTGAGGTCAAAATTATTCAATTACTGGAGACTAATTTCATCCAGTCACCGGACACCCTTGAAGCTTTGGGTCCTTAGTATATTGACCATTCGGTACTAGAAGTGGAATATGAAATGAATTATAGGATAGTATAGACCGATAATTCCGTGCAACCTTTCATCCCATCTGTATTTCCCAACTATAGAAGCGGTCAGCTTGTCAGATCAGTTTCGTAGGACAATTTGGTCTTTTCTATAGGATTACCTGTTGTACCGTATCTTTCGATATCATGACCTTCGAGAAATCCTTTTTAAGCTAGTTTGACACTTTTATGTGTTGAAATCTGTTCCTGTACATTTTTGAAGTCACGGGGTTGTTTAAATGTCTGTGTGAAGAAATATCCTTCTGGCTCAACCTGGTAGTCAAATGATGACTCAGAGGTGACTCTATAATAATCAAAAGCAACATTACTGGAAGAGCCAATTGTCTATAAAAAGGGCATACAATGACCTTAGCTTTATTATCTTTAATATTAGAACTGGCGAATATACATACTCCATTTACATATTCAAGAATTTGTTACCTTACCGATGGACAGGTAAATTATTGTAGCCAGTTACCATTACTTATTGCTATGGATACTAATATTACTCAGCAGCAAATCTCTAGAAATCAACATTATGCCCCGTGAAAACCAGAAGCCCACTCATCCTCGATTGTCCCCACCCGCCTATGACCTTCTCTCTCGGATCCTTATTCACATAATCATCCTGACTGTGAATGTTTGCAGATAAGTGTTTGCATACCGATGCTACAGGCTTGCGATACTCCCCTCATTTTTAGCATGCGGAGGATAGTGATGGATTTTTGCGCCATATTCCTAAGGGTATCAAAGTAGATACCAGAACTAGAAATAATCGTGGTTCCCCCGAGTAAGAATAGCTGTAAAGATGAGGAAACTTACTGCCACCGGAGCGAGTTTAAACCCCATTTTACTTCGATACAACACACACCTACACCCCTTTAACGTGAGATAGTACTTTATAAACCTACAAAAACGGTATTAAGGATTAGAACTGGAATCATAAAAAATTGGTGGCAAGGTATAACGGCGAATTCCTTCGCCTTTCATGGATGGTGGATGGAAACAGAGCGGGCTCTCTTAGCACGTGCAATTACCGGCCTCGCCGTCCAAATGGATGTTGATAGCGTCATTGTAGTCGTCGTTAAACTCATCATTGGCCTCCTCCTGCTGCAAGGCATTTCGAGAAACCACGTCAAAGGCTTCTTCCACATTGATGCCGTCTTTGGCACTGGTTTCGAAGTACGGCACGTTTCCCAACTGCTGGCACACCTGGGCGGCCTTCTTGTAGCTCACGACGCGCTTGTTTTCGTCAATGTCGATCTTGTTGCCGATAACGATGAAGGGGAACGTTTCCGGCAGACTGACATTGGCCTGAATCAAAAACTCGTCCTTCCACGCCAGCAAGCTCTCGAACGACTTGGCGTTGTTCACGTCGTACACAAGGATGCAGCAGTCAGCACCGCGGTAGAACGCTACACCAAGCGACTGGAACCGTTCCTGGCCCGCAGTGTCCCATATCTGCATCGTCACGGTCTTGTCATCGATGGGCAACTCCTTTGTGAGGAAATCCGCGCCAATCGTGGCTTTGTACTGGTGCGAGAACTTCTTGTTCACAAACTGCTGCATGAGGGACGTCTTTCCGACCCCGGAGTCCCCCAAGATGATCACCTTTAACAAAGTCTTTTTTCTGCTGGACATTTCAAGTAGCAACGAGTGGAGGTGGCTTAACGCTAGATGTTACGTGAACGGTTATACTACCTAGACCCAGTCTCGTGGTGCTTGCTGACCCGATTATCTGTGTCTCCCAGATTGTCAGAGGTGGGCTATGCACGACCTTTAGCCGCACGTGGGACAAGGATGTGGAGACCGTACGCAACGTGTGCCGGATAGAGATAAGGTCACAAGACAAGTGGTGCTCGGTTTACCGAAAAGATCGCAGAGAGGCTCAAGCATGTGACTATGCTGGTTGAAGTTGTTTGCACTGAATGGAAGATTGGGTACTGACCATTGCGATGTGTAGCTTCGTATACAATGGGTCCTGGAGTTAAAGTGAGCGCTGATTTTGGATGGTTTGAATGGTCTTGGTGGGCACAGATCACTAGATATCTACCGTAGTCCCTCGGTAAATATAAAATCACAGAATAATTTTGCTCTCGAATGACTCTGTTCAAAGGCACGCCAAGGCTTTTGTTACGGGTATCCCACCTGACGAGGCAACGTCGACAGTTGCGCGTGACAGAGGGATTTTCCTCCGAAGTCCTCCATAAACTCTTAGAGGCACTGCTAAATATGACTGGGGGCACAAACTGGCATCCTCCACCCGTGTTCCCGCCGTTATCCAACAGCGGTCAGCATACGTAATGTACAACCCCCGCAGTCTATCCTAATAAGCCAAGGTTCCCAATAGCCACCTGGCTTAGTTTTGCAAACGTTTCGAGTGCATCACACGATATCTGTCACTACAGGGATTCACATGCATCGAGCATGACGATTATGCATATATTACCACCCACGCATACAGATAATAGATTAGAAGGTCATCCAGGGGCCTCAGTATTCTATGGATAAATACCGCAATCCGTATGTCTTCTAGGGATAAATACCGCAACAGTTGAATGTCGCTTAAGAGTAAATGCCGCAACAGTCGTAAGCCGCTCCCTTTGTCCGTACTATGGTGACCAGCCATGTGGTACAAGGCTGCGCCCCTTTTTTCCCGCCGTATGAGTCTACGTCATTGTGCAGTGGGTTAACCGAGGCTACCTGTCTTAGGACATCACGACTGTGATTGCTTGCGGAAAGGTAGCCAATATCTATAAGCAATAAACGCCCTTATTGCAAGCATTTTCGGTGGCCGTAGACAATGGGGTATGCCTTTTCATGGCTGTGGGAGCAACGCCAAAGATTTGACCGCCGATTTGAGCCCCATGTCTAGTCATGCGGTCGTGTTTAGACTCTACCTATACCCGCGCAATATGTCGTCTAACGCGCCGTACGCGAGCTATTATGGAGTCAGCAAGGGAAACGCCTGGGGTATGAAGATAGACTCTAGAGCGATAGTAAACGGTTCAGATGGTTGTTAATCAGCTTATGAGTTGCTTTTGGCAAGCGTAGATCTAACCTAGGTTTTAGGCCGAAATCTGCTTTCATTCGTCCTTCCCTTTGTGGACATTGAGTAAATTACCGCATGGACTATAGTGATAATGCACCTCTCCGTAAATTGGTATGTCGTACACCCCACTCTCTGGAATTGTATTTAAGCTCCCCCAATCTTCGCCTTTCCCCATTCCCATTCTCCATACCCAGACATTCTTCATATCCAGACTTTCCTCGTATCCAGAAATCCTCTATATCCAGAAATCCTTTATATCCAGAAATCCTCTATATCCAGACATCCTCTATATCCAGAAATCCTCTATATCCAGACATCCCCCATATCTAAAGGTTCATATCCATTATGAGCACAGACACAAAAGTTATTCCGGTCAATCCCGCCCTCCATGACGGCCTGCCACACGTTGACAGCGACGATGACTTCATCAAGCCCGTCTCGGTTACCCGCAACACCACCGCAGGCAACCCTTTCGTGGTGAAAACCCAGCCTTCTGCCACCAACCAAATGAAAGTCCAATCATTTGCGTTCGAGCTGGCTGTTCCAGGCTATGACGGCTGGTACCCCCACGCGGTAGACTGCTTCGGTAACTGTTTCGGTACGCTTGGGACCATCCCTTGCTGCATCTGCTGCCCTAATCCGTACAAGTCGGTCCTGCAGGGTAACGTCGGGTTGATCACCAAGTTCGGGAAGTTGTACAAGGCTGTTGATCCGGGTTTGGTCAAGGTCAACATCTTGAGTGAGAAGCTCAAGTCCGTGAGTGTGATGCTCACCACCGCTGAGGTCTCGCAGCAAAACTGTATGACCAAAGACAACGTCAATGTCTACTTAACCTCGGTGATCTACTACCAGGTGATCCAGCCGGAGGTGGCTACGTTTGCGGTGCAAGACGTCAGAAGCGCCTTGGTAGAGAGGACGCACACCACTTTAAGAGACGTCATCGGGTCCCGCCAATTGCAGGACGTGATTGAGAGAAGAGAGGAGATTGCCGAGGCGATTTCCGAGATTATCGGCGAAACCGTGGCCGCCTGGGGTATCCACGTGGAAAGTATCTTGATCAAGGATTTGGCGTTGGACTCAACCGTTTCTAAGTCATTGTCCATGGCTGCCGAGGCCAAGAGAATCGGTGAGTCCAAGATCATCACCGCCAAGGCCGAAGTGGAAAGTGCCAAGTTGATGAGAAAGGCTGCTGATATTTTGGCCTCCAAGGCTGCCATGCAGATCAGATACTTGGACGCCATGCAGCAGATGGCCAAGACCGCAAACTCCAAGGTTATCTTCACTCCGACACAGGAATCGTTTGACAATATGACTGAGAAGTTCGAGAATGAGTACAACCAGGGCCAGATCACTAACCAGCCGGAGGGCTCCTCTGCTGGCCACCTGAAGAAGCAGAACTCTGGCAGAGATGCTTTCTCAACCAAGGATATGTTGACCAACATTGCCGTCCAGGAAAGCTATAACTCGGATATTGTTTAAGATGCTTGAGTTTTCTTCCTTTCCGAGGATGCTGGTTTAATCCTCCTTTTTTTTTTTTTGTTTGCGTGGCACTTGGGTGTGCCCGCTTGTGTTATTTTCCAGAGACCTGATTTTTTGCACTCGTTCCAATGGCCTCTTATTGAAACTCTAATTTTTAATTTACGACGTATGTACTCATTTCCTTGTAGGCGGTGAGAATGTTTAACCTCCGGTATACCATTTTAATTGGGAAATGGAAAAGAATTTGAAATCTAGCAGTTACATCGACGGCAGCGATTTTTGCACCATTTTCTTCGCCAATGAATATTCGTAACACAACCGGGAATCCATCCTGCCTTTTTCACTGTAGCTAGATGCTCTTCATACAATATCGTCACATCCGTTGGCACTTCGACGTATACAAAAGCCATTTGATTCCTTGTCTATATTCTTGGTATAACGTCAACGTAGTGCCAAGGGTAAAAAAAAAATTAGGCACAATCCCTCTTCATCCCTCAAGCCTAACTCTAAAGTTTTATGTCTACACTATCATGCCTGGATGATGCAGCAGCACCTAGCTTCCCTAAATCATTACATGCTCGTAGCCGTTCCAAATTCAAAAGTTAATTAATAATGTACATAGAGACGGACCAGAAACCTGAACCGCATGAGAAAGCAATGTACCAACGCACAAGCTGGGACACTATTGTAACAACTGATCGAAGTAGTGCGGTTGGTTGTTGATGAACTTCTTGGCCTTTCTGTCGAACTGGTCGGCGGTGTGTTTTTCCCAACCCCACTCTCTCTTCTTCTCGGCGTACTCCTTCTTGTCCATGACCGACAACATGTGGCGGGACTCCGCGGCGATCACGGTACCCTGGCCTTCGGACAATACCTGCTCCGGTCTCAAGCTCTGTTTGTAGTATCTGCTCAACGATCTGTGTCCCACAACAACACCACTCGGTAAAAGCAACTCGTGGCCGTTGTTGATAGCCACCTCGGTAGGCAAAGGCGCCTCCTCGTCACTGTCGTCTTCGCCCTCTTCGACATCCTCCCACTCGCCCTCCGGGGTAGTGGCATCGCCCTCTGGAGCAGCGGCGTCACCGTATGTGGAAGAGAAATCGTAAAAGTCTGAGATTTCGAGCTTCTCGGACTCAGACTCGTACGGAATGCGACAATGGAACTTCGCCAACATGTGCGCTCTGACTGCCTCCAAGGTTCTCGCCTGGAAGTTACACACAATACAGACGTTACCCAAGCCAATCTTCTCGGACAAGTACTGCATCAAACCGGCCTTATCCACAAGGTAGTCCCTTTCTGGAATGTACAAACCGTGCTTTCTGAACATGTGGTCCTCAGCCACAGCGGCGTTAGGGAAGGACTTGTTTGGACAGAAGAGACAGCAGTTGGCCGGGATCTCGACCTGGTTCTTCAACTTGGCTTGCATTAACTGTTCTTCCTGGCTCAACTCCGGCTGCGCCTCCTCGGTAGCTTCGGCCGGCTCTGGGGTCGTAACTGGCTCCTGGATCTTAATCAGCTCGAGCTCGCTAGTGATTTGGTCAAACTGCGCCTGGGTGTTGGTACCAGCAGCAATCATGGAGGCCCTGGCGGCTTCCAACAACTGTCTCTTCTTCTCCATCAAGGCTTCCTTCTCTCTCTGCCTCTGCTCTTTCTTGGTAACGGTCTTCTGCACATCGGCCTCCAACTTGCCACCCTTTCTGCCTCTGACCTTCTTCAATTTGGTCGTGGAGCCCTCGGTGGTTGGTTTCTGGGATGCCTCGTTCTCTGGGGCCGCCAAAACAGCAACCTTGGTCTTGAAGTTCTCCTCGGAAATGGCGGGCAAGTCCGCAACCCTTCTCTTCAAGTTGTATCTGTGCCAGTCGGACTTCATGTGAATTCTCTGGTCATCTGGGGAGGCAAAAGCCAACCCACAACTGTTACAAGTGTACTGCATCTCTAGAGAGGTGTTATCTGTCCCAGCGTATTTGTCCTTGTGTGTACTGAAAAAGGAGGTCGGAATCGGCCCTGCCTTGACGCAAATAAATTTTCATGCAGCATAAAAAAAAAACCAAAAAGCTCGCATGCTTATGTAATCTGCGATGAGTCGTGCATTCCCACGTCTTGCGGCTCAGGAAAAATCTCTCTTTTTTTCACCTGCAAGAGCCTCCTACAAAACGTTCCACCTCGTAACCACTACGAGCCCTCCTCCCTTCCTTAACTCCTGCTATCCACATCATGAGTGAACCCTTTGAAACGCTTTTACCGAAACTCCTCGGTACGGTACGAGCCTCGGCTGCGTTAGCCGCCCAGGATGTCAACTTCTACAAATCACTCGACGGCGGTTTGGCAGCGCAGATTGAACTGATTGCGGGCAAGATCTTGGACGCGACCAACATCTTGATCCAGCTGACGGATGATCTGGCCGATGCATTGGAGTCCGGCGCCGAGAACTTGGACGACAGCTGGAAAACTGTGGCCAACGTACTCGATAACTTGTTTGAGAAGACGGACATTGCGGTCGATGACAACCGCCGGTCGCGCAACAAGGAGGCGCCGGTCCAGGAACGCGACTCCAACATGACCTATCTCGAGGATGTCAGTGCGTCTCTCGACAGGCCCAAGTCTGCCAAGCGCATGGGCAAGCCACAATTGCAGTTCCGCGTACCCGTGGACAACTCCGAAAGCCACGCGTTCAAGCCGTTGTTGACAGAGAAGCCGCACGCTACCGTTTCCTTAGAGGAAGTGAGCGTTATGGTGACGCCCGAGCTCGAGGAAGACCCTTGCTACTTCCCACACCCGTACGCGGCGGAGATCGATGCGCAGCCGTACCCTTCGTCCATCTTGGAGGTGTCAGAGCCGATCAAGTCGCAACCCTGGGAAACCACCTCGGCAATCTGGGTCGACACCGTGGAGGCACGCGACGCGATGCTCGTGGAGTTGCGCAAGGCGCTGGAGATTGCTGTTGATTTGGAGCACCACGACTATAGAACCTACTACGGGTTGGTGTGCCTCATGCAAATTTCGACCTCCGAGCAGGACTGGATCGTGGACACGTTGGCGTTGCGCGACGATCTCCAGGTGTTGAACGAGGTGTTTGCAGATCCTGGTGTGGTCAAGGTGCTCCACGGCGCGTTCATGGACATTATCTGGTTGCAGCGCGACTTGGGGCTCTATGTGGTGAGCTTGTTCGATACGTACCACGCGTGCCGCTTGTTGGGACTTCCGAAGCACAGTCTTGCGTACTTATTGGAGCGATTTGTGCAATTCAAAACGTCCAAGAAGTACCAGTTGGCCGACTGGCGCATCAGACCGTTGCCACAGCCGATGGTTGCGTACGCCCGCTCCGACACCCACTTTTTGCTTGAGATCTTCCATCTCTTGCGCAACCAGTTAGTGCAGACGGGCAAGATGGCAGAGGTGTTGTACGAGTCGCGCCAGGTGGCCAAGCGCCGCTTCGAGTATACCAAGTACAAGCCTGCGCTCGCAACCTCCCTGGTCGCCACCCCGCTCAACGACAAGAGTGAGCCGTGGAGACCGCTCATGAACCAGTACAACCTCCCCTTCAGTAAGAGACCTTTGGTGGTTGCATTGTACGAGTGGAGGGACGCCATGGCCCGCCGCGACGACGAGTCCACGAGATACGTGATGCCCAACCAGCTATTGGTGTCGTTGGTGGCGCTGGCCCCAATCGACGCCACCGGCGTGCTCTCTGCCAGCAACTTCATCACCGACCACGTTCGTGTTAACGCCAAGGAGGTGGCCACGCTCATTGAGCAGACCCTCCAGACCATAGACGCCGAAGACTTTGAGATCATGAACACCATGGCCAAGATGGAGACCGTGGAGGAGACCGTCGACCTCGACTTTGTACAGAAGCTCGACGCCAACTTCGCTCTCTTGGCCCAAACTCTCCCAGAGACCACCCATTTGGTCAAGAACAACTCCCGCTTGCTCACTCAGGCCATGACCCACGATGCGGTCTGGAGCGTTGAATACGGTGCCGAAAAAACCACCACCAACATCAGCGTCACTGCGGAACGTATAGCGTTGATCCAGGAAACTTTGGCCGCCATGAACGACCAGGAGGTGGTTGTCCACGAGCCGCCGGTGTTTGAAACCGACGAGGCTGTCACAGTTGTGGAGGAGGAAGAATACGTTCCAATCCTCAAGGAACAGAGGTTGGACCCAAACGAGGTCATTACCTTGAGAAAAAAGCAGACCGCTAACCACCGCAACTCTAAGCAGCTCGCACAGTCCGAAGGCGATGCCTTCGACTACAAGTCCGCTGACAAGGTGTTGCTCAACCCGGTCAGAGAAAGACCGCAGAAGGGCAAGAAGAGAAATACCGCCTTTGACCCGTACTCCCAGGAGTCCGAGGGTCCGAAGCCGGCCAAGAGGGCAAATACCTTCAATAGCGGGAAGACGTCGTCGTTCGTGCAGAAGAGAAAGCGGTAAAGCGGTGTAGAATATGTGTATAATAGAACTATGTTAAGCGACTGCAGGAGAAGTGCGAAGCTAATCTGCATGCTCCTTGGATGGGCTCCTTTTGAAGATTGATCCGGTCGACGGCCCTAAGAGCGTGTACTGCCTGTAGAAAATTTACAGGTCTCCGTGTAAATGGGGGGTATATATTCCGTCTCCGGCTCATTCCCATGCCAGCTGAAGTTACCACCTCCAGTGGTTCAAGTATAGTGTCAAGGGGGATTAAAAGTTCTGAATATTACCCCAGAAATAGTATTTGTCAAGGTCTAATTTCATGCTAAAAACTTTACCTGTAGCTTTCTTACACGATCACAGATTGCTTGAATATATTGCAACTAATTCTGAAATACCCCCCCTCTGCTGTAGGTATGTTTCCGCTTCGGACATCACAAGTCTTCTACCAAAACTAACCGACTGGCATCGTTTGTCGTTGTAAGAATCGATTTTGGAAGGGTAAACTCTTCGGACCCCAGGTGGGTCTCGTGTGCTGCACCCTTATCCACCAATTTTCCTTTCGATAATATCAAAATCTTCGTTGATTCCTTTTCCTTCCCTCTAAACGAGGTGGAAATCCGTAACCGACTCTTCAAGTGAGCCATTTTTTGTCTCATTTTCAGGGGCATTGGCGTGCGGGCGACCTCCTGGTCGCTGTCAAAGTTTCCCGTGGCATTGTCCAAGAGTGTGTTTGAAGTGGCGGAACTCCGCGCAGTGGATACGTTTCCGGTCTGCAAAATTCTTCTGGTGTCGAGGGTTTCTCTCCCAACCGCTTCACCAGGTCCGGGGATTTGCATTTCCATCTCTGCAACCTCCTTGGCCACGCCTCTGAGCGAGGTATACTCTGTCGAGAGCTTAGACGAGATCACCGAAACATGTCTAGGATCAACAATATCATGCTTTGCGATAGGCTTCTCTCGTTCGGGTCCGGTGAATGAAACAAAGGCTTTAAATCGTTGAACGTGAGAAGTTTTGGGTGGCTTGAAACAAGAAGCTGCACGGGCAAGGATTTGTGAAGAGGCCTGAGATAATGTCTCTCCTGATTGGGCCGATTGATCAGTTTCGAGGTAACTTGTGAATGGGATAACAAGGCTGTTAATTGTAGTCGGGTGGTAAAAGCTTTGAATATCCGTGATTTCTTCCCTCAGGGTAATCTGTCTCTCCTCTGTCACCTGTGGGGGTTTTATATTGTCAAACCGGACTTTATCGAAGCAGGAGTTTGCATCATTGGAAAGAGACTCTGTTTGTAGGTCGGAAGTTAATATTAGTGGAGGGCTACAAATAATCTCCTTTTCCTTTGTAATTGCTTCAATTTCTCCGATTTCATCTGATATCTCCTGGGCTAACTGCTCCCTGAACTCATCCTTGTCTGAAGAAAATCCGTCCGGCAGCACAGTACTCAAACTCTCCGCTAATGTATTTGTTAGTCGCTGATTCTCCATTCTTGTTTCTCACATAGGCCTAGCCTGAAGGGATCACTTACTCTTTGGGGGATCATCCAACCAGTTGCCCCACTCAGGGATAATCTTGGGCTGAGAAGGTTCAATACTGAGCCTTGTATCCATTTGGGACAACTCGGAATATCTAGATGTTGGCCGGTTTTTGATATCGAACGAGGAGGCTAGGTTCTGTGAAAAGGTGCGGAAATAATCAAAGTCATCTTCATCGTCCGAAATTGTATCCAATTCATATTGTCGATTGATCTCCATCAGCATCGGTGCTGTCTCTACTCGAGCGTTGTCGCTCTCTGCAAGCTCTTGCTTTTCTCTTTCCACGTGTGTTTTCTTCGGTCTGTCATTTACTGCCTCTTCCATTTCCGTATCAAGGTCGCTCTTTGGGGCATTGAAGGCTCCCAAAGCTTCCATCGAGAGCAATGAGCCCCGGGATCCCAAGCTTACGAGCCTCCGTGAACCTATTTGCGCCGATGGAAGATGACTCGGACTCCCAGGGGAGCACTGCTGAACCTCAGAGTGTCGGCTTTTAGAGCCCGTCAAGTAATTAGGAGTTGGGAGGTAGGAAAAAGCACGCCGGGGGAAGGTAGAACTGTAGGCTTGGATTCCATTACGGGCCGAAGCCTCCCTATGGGCGGCAGGTTCCTTGGAGAACTTGCTGGAAGGAATCGGTTCTCTCTGGTTGGGGCTTATGCCGCACTCCTGCTCCACCATAAGTAGACCTCCAGTTTGATGTGAATTAAATTTGTTCTCTGGTCCTTTGGTGTAGGGTTCAAGCTTTGCTGGTCGAGGGGACATTATAGTATGCTCGGCTTCAACCATTTCTCCTACGTATGACTTCGCTCCTTGTAAGGTGCTGGAGTTTTTGGTGGCCTCAATTATGCGGGCCTGTTCTCCGAAAAGCCTTTCTTGTTTCTCGGGGATACCGTTGTTTCTCTCTGTCGATTGTCCTCTTTCCGCCTTCTCCCTGGGGCTCTTTCGCTCGGCTATGAAAGCACCTCCCATCTCAACAGAGTCGAGGCTTTGAATATTTTCAAGGGACGGCGAAGGAACCCCCATGTCAATGCTGGAGAGAGAGATACACGTGATTTGACACACCCCAAAATCTGGCGTTTCGGCCTCGAGTGTTGGGTCGGAGTAGCGGGAAGCTGGAGAAAGAACAGCGTCCTTTGCAGACACTGATGTGACATTTTGGAGATCGGCAACCTGTTCGTGTCCGGAATCCATAGTCCGGTCGTAAGGCGAGGAGCTGCTGCAGTTGAGAGCGTTTAGCTCGTCACTGGTGCAGACGGTTCCAAGGGGTAACTTTGCTTCGATCTGGGAACTGAAAGTAGCGTTCTCGTGCAGCAATAGCGATTCCTTCTTTGCGGATGTAAATAGAGCAGGCTCGGTCATTATTAATTTTTAAAAAGAGAGAAATAAGAACCATCATTATCTCATTTTACCCCCTTCAAGGACTTAGTTATCGTACTCAGGTAGCCAGTCTTGGGATATATAAGAGAAGTAGCCACAGAAACGCGTACCTCTGGACTTGCGTCTGTGGCCCAGGCTCGTGCGTGTGTTTGACGAGATGCATAAGGGAATGTACTTTAGACAACGCATGTCTGGGATATTCACTTGGGTAAAAACGTTTAGCGAGGTGGCGGATTTACTTTTTAACACTATATACTCTCGTCTATTCTTTTTTTTTTTTTTTTTTTTTTTTTTTTTTTTTGACTATGAATTGTAACCCTAAACTTGAAATTGAATCCGAGGGGGGTCCGTTACCCATGGTTTATCTGAGCCTTCAGCTGAAGCATCCACAAAGACCAGACCCATCTAGGTCTCATCGCTGTTAAATTAGTAAAGCCAAACCACCATAAATATAATCTATCACCTGCGGCTGCTTCTTAGAGGAGCAGACAAAAAGCGAGCAACTCCTGTCCCAAAGCTGCAAAACTCTGTATACAGTACAAGGGGCTACGAACTGTTAAAATACTAAGTTATGCAACGTCTCCTTTCCAGAGATAAAACGCCTCCTATAGCAGCGTAACCGCCTCACAAAATTGTAAAACTCAGTTTCTCGTAAAACCTCAATAATTTACCAACCCTTTGTAGGTCATTCATATTGCTTACGAGGCGGCTTTTTTCGACAAGCCGCACGGCCTGGCTAAAAATAAAGGCGCGTCCTTCACTTATCTCGACCACCACCTCTCTCACTTTCAAACACACCAGAGCTTTATATACCACTCATAATGTCCGTTGTCTCCCCGGTTGTGAAAAAGCTTATTGCCGTAATCACGCTCCTCATATTCATAGCTCTCCTCTACGTCCACTCATTACCGAAAGCTCACATAAAGATGCCAACCGTGCCTCCCCCCAAGTCCATGGAGGAGCACGATCTCTGCACAATCACCAATCCGTTGACCAACGGGTTCATCAATCTCCGCGAGTTGGGTGCTCTCGGCCATGACGGGCTTGTGACCGCGTGGAACTCCAAAGGCTTTGACTACCACCACAACTTCACGCTCGGGATCTGCTCCACGCCCTTCAAGCAGCCGGCAGAGGTGCGTGATGTGTCCAATTCGTCACTTGTCGGCGGCTACTACACCAATGCGGACGGCACCAAATTCTCCATCGGTGAGTACTCTGCGCATCCAAAGTTCCGTGGCCGCAAGTTAACTCTTACGTACGAAAACGGTAGCTACTGCAGCGCCAGCAAGGACCTCCGCAAGTCAACCATCTTGTCCTTCGTGTGCGACCGTGAGATCATGGCTAAGGCCCAAGTTTCATTTGTGGGCCAGCTCCACGATTGTGCCTACTACTTCGAGGTCAGAACTGTGCACGCGTGCCCTACGTTCAACGACGAGGAAACCGCGTCCGTAGCCTGGGTGTTCTTCCTCTTGATCCTGGTTGCCGCGGGGGTGTTCTTTGGAGCGGGCCACTTGTACCAGCTTATCCGCAAGAATGCCAGACGTATGGCGGGAACGAGCGCCGATTGGAAGCCGACGCCGGTGGTAGGTGTTGCTGACGCGTTGAAACAGTTGCTCAAACCGAACGAAAAGCTACCTCTCTAGGCGTCAGGATTGTCATATATATGAGACGGCGGTTCCGGTGTATGTTAAAGGGTTCCGGTGTATAATAAAGCTATACATGTGGGAGGGGCCGTTATTTCAAATTAAAGGCGGAAGGAATGGGGACGATTATTCTTTTCGAAAGAGGGACCAGGAAGGAATGAAAAGGACCAGGAAGGGGCTGGAAAGCCCGGTAATAACCACGCCTGGGAACAGCCTGAGCCCCAGTTGGTTTTAAATTGTGTTTGAATCAACAATATTTTCAGATATGCATATATATTTATAGTCAACAATTCATAAAATATAAAACTTCTTCCAGAGTTTTAATAAACTTATATATTATATATAGCACTAAGTTGATGATTTATATAATCATAATATAAGTACACCCGCTTCCTTAAGAATGTGTGAAGGTTGAGGAAAATCCGTAGACCAGGTCTATGTATGCATCCATAGCTATACGCATTACATTGCCAGGGGTTAAGGGGTACAAGAATCCATGGTGCATGTTTAGATGTGTTTATAAGCTTTAATCTATATACACATAGCAGTACTGGCCCCCCACACCAAATAAATTAACACTGCACATATACCGCACTAGCTACACTGTAACTGAGCTTTCCGAATGTTACCTTACACTATTGGTTGTGTATTCTAAATACTAGAATGACCTCCTACCGGTTCGCACCTGACCGAAGTAGTGATATATGAATATCTCTCAGTATTTCGTGGACAAGACTTGGCCTCTGCCCCTATACCTTGAGCCTCTTTTACCTCGCCACATTGCACCATTTTAGGAAACATGCACATAATTCCAAAGGGGGCAGCTTTAACTCCCCTCCCTCTCGTTAGCCCTAACAAGGGCTTGCCAAGGCCTACACGGAAAACACCGGATCTCACATATATCAGAGAAGGCAGTCACACTATAACCCGGATTAAGTAAGCCACGCCCTCTATACCCAAAAGTTGTTTCAACGCCCAGGCAAGAAATGTCACAGCAGAAGTAAACCAATACCCATCTCCAGCCTATCAGGCTGTAAGAGACATTTCTTTTGGTAGTCCCTTTGGATATATAGTCGCCGGCAGTCGGGTTTAGGGGTGGCTTCCAAAGACAGTTCAGTACTATATTTACACGTAGTCCGAGGACGGCACAGTAGGGATTACTATTGGTATCAGTCAGTATTCCAGAATGCCGGTGGGTAAATTCAGGCATAGGATTACCCGGATCGGAGGCTGAGGAAAAATTTTCCAGCGGCTGGAGATGCCCCACTGAACACCTGGCGTCTCCTTTTGCATTCGGCTTGCTTTCGGTTGTACCCTATAAGGTATTTCAGAGCCGCTGCTTTCTTCCGCACACCTTCCTTTCTTCTCTTCTTTCGTCAACTAAATAATTATCATCTAAAATGGTATGTGGTTTTGCATTGGAGGAGCTTTTTGAGTCAAATAGGCGTAGCAATCATGACTAGCAGACTGGCTTTCGCCTCTTGCTGCTGGCTGTGCTTGTTTGGCACTGTCCCCCTCGATTACAGATCAAGCACTAACACGTTGTTATAGGGTAAGGAAAAGGGTCACATTAACGTCGTCGTCATCGGTCACGTCGATTCCGGTAAGTCTACTACCACCGGTCACTTGATTTTCAAGTGTGGTG